ATATAAAATAGAAAATAATAATCATAATATAGCATAGACAAAATAATAGGTAAGGCATTGTTCATTGTCCACATGATTCTGGGTCTTAATAACCTTTCATCATCAAGCCAATAGAGTATGAGAAATATGGAGTGACTTTTCTTTTTCTCATTGCTAACCACTCACAGACCTAAATAAATGGAGAGATCAGGAATTCTACCCAACATTGTTGTTTACATATTTTCTTACTATTTTCAGCAGGTTTTCATAAACCATTTTAAAAAAATATAATGAAAGGATAAAATAATATAATATTGCATAAACTAATCAGTAAACATGCACACGAATATAAAAATGGTAAAAATACTTGGACCAAATCAAATTAAAACAAATCAAGAGAGTTAGACAATTCACAATTGCAAAACCCTAAACCCTAAACACTAAACCGCACGAACCAAATGTTTGTCAGACTAGAAAATACCTAAAGTGTAGCTTCAAACATTTTAGTTGAGAGTAGATGAATGGATTAGTAATAGAGAGTGTGCACATTTGAGATTAAAAAAAACAGAAATTGCCCTATATAGGAGTAAAAACGTTTTGAAATTCCAAAATAGGAGTATCATGTTTTTTATTCCCTGAATAGGAGTAATCTGCCAAGTTTGGAAGAAAATGCCATGTTTAAAGCCTTGTAATGCCCAAACTTGGCAGCAATTTACTCCTATTTAGGGAATAAAAAACATGATACTCCTATTTTGGAATTTCAAAACGTTTTTACTCCTATTTAGGGAATTCTCTCAAAAAAATTACAAATAGTTTTTTGTCTATGTGTAATCTCTAGTGAGGGTTTGTCCTGGGGGGGCGGGGGGCGGGATAAGGGCGATCGTCCCAGGCCCGAAATAAAAAACAGGCTCAATATTTTTTCTTTATATATAATGTTAGCAAACTTATTTTTTGTTTCTAAGTTCAACTGTTCAAATAATTACACCTTATGCTTAATTTTTGTTGACAATTTGAAAATTTTAGAACACAAGTAAAAAGTCTTAAACAAAGCTAAGTTTAAAAAATATATACATTAGTTTTAAGTAGGTTTGGTTGTAGTTTTTAAAGCAACGCAATTGTTGCCGAAACAATAAAAGACACGCGTCTTCAGTCTTCACATCTTTGTAACCTTTATTATTATTATTATTATTATTATTATTATTATTATTATTATTATTATTATTATTATTATTATTATTATTATTATTATTATTATTATTATTATTATTATTATTATTATTATTATTATTATTATTATTATTATTATTATTATTATTATTATTATTATTATTATTATTATTATTATTATTATTATTATTATTATTATTATTATTATTATTATTATTATTATTATTATTATTATTATTATTATTATTATTATTATTATTATTATTATTATTATTATTATTATTATTATTATTATTATTAGTATTATTATTAGTATTATTATTATTATTATTATTATTATTATTATTATTATTGTTGTTGTTGTTGTCGTTGTCGTTGTTGTTGTTGTTGTTGTAATTGTTGTTGTTGTTATTATTATTATTATTATTATTATTATTATTGATTCCTTTTAATTATAAAATAACACACGTATATAATTATTGTCCAACCCGTGCCTCTCAGATCTCATCACAATCATTTTCAAATTCCAATTGCAAACAAAGTGATTAATAAAAAATATCTAAGATCCTAATAACATTTTAGAGGACATCAAATGATCAGTCTTCTTTGTTCGAGTTTTCTTGATGACCAAACATGTCTCTTTAAAAACCTTCATTCTTTCGATGCATCAAACTTTACACTCTTAGCGGTCAGTAAATCATTCTCAACTTATGAATTCCATAATATTTCTTTTTCATTTATCTTTTTAGTTGAAACCATTTAATTGATTAATTAACTTTACACGAAGAACCCAAAATAAAAGATATTCTCTTTGTTTGAGCTTAACCTTTTCACTTACCTCTTGACTTCCCAACTAAAGGTTTTCAGTCCTATTTTAAAAAATTATTAACAATCTCAAATGACACTTTAATCATCAAATATTAAAAATTTTACACCTATAACATCACAACCATCATCAATAATTTCATTGTGTTATATATCCATCAAAATTACTCTTCAAAATATATTCAAACTGTTTTATTTAATTATTATCTAAATAATCGTGCCATTTTTCAATGAAAATTTTAAAACGATAACTCATTTTTACTTGTAAAATATGAACTACATCCTTCATTGTCAAAAGAGCACATAAGATAGGCATAGGTTCTTTTCTTTTTGTGGTAGGATATTATGCTCGTGTTTGATAATATTCTTCTTTCTACTTCCCTTCTATTTATACCTCATCTTCACCATCACCTTCCTCATCAGTGGCGGAACCAGAGAAAATTTTGAGCGGGTGCTCTTGTAGTTTTTTTATTTACACCTTTTTTTATTAGGATAAAAGAAAAACGAGTGAAAAAAATTATCATTAGATATATATAGAGTGTGGTTCCAATAAAAAGAGTTACATAATATTTGAAATATGCGAAGACGTGCATTTTTACTCGTTCTGATGCACTAGTAGATATATTTTTTACACTTTTTCACAATGAGAGAAATTTTTGATTTATACACCAAATTTTGAACGCGTTTTTGATAAAATGGAGTGCATTGTTTCCTAGTTCTGATTCATTAAATATCAAGTTTAATGCACAAGATTTATTCCAATTTTCATGAGAATAACTCTTTTTTATCCAAAACTTATATATATGTATATACATTGTGTTTCAAATAAAAATGCTATTATACTAAAGAAAAAGTAAATAGTTATGTTAAGTTAAAGTATATTGAAAATTATTCTAAACATTAAATGGTAGTGTCTTTATATGTCATTATTAAAACAAGGAAGAAAAACTAAAAACTCATTTTTTTGTATTTCAAAATAATTAAAAGTTATGTTATATATGTAATTTTGAGGTCATTGAACTAAAAAAGAAAAAAGAAAACCACATATTCATAGTTGAAGAAAGAAAGAGTGAAAACTTTTGCGTATTAAAAAATAAGAATGTAAAATAAAAGATGTTAAAATTTAAAGAGTGATTTAAACAACATTATATCCTAGAATGATTCAATTGAACAAAACTAAACAACATTATATCCTAGAATGATTCAATTGAACAAAACTAATTATCATGTTCTAGAAGGAAACAAAAATAGAACACCCAGCTCCCAACTAAAAGGGAGAGCAGGTGGGATGAGGAAGTGGAGGAAGGAAGCTAAGCACAATAAAACACAGACACAGGGATTCGAACCCACAACATCAGAGAGAGGGAGCACTTAGTCACTTACTGCCTGGTACAATTCCATATGAACTAATAGAGCTACTACACTAAATAATCCACCGCGGCGTAAATATATATTATCTCCCAGCCGGGACTGAGACATATACATACATATATATACACTATCGCCGCCAGCGAACGGGGGGCGGCGGCACCGGCTCGCCCACCCCTAGTTCCGTCACTTATCCTCATCATCTTCACCAAGAAAATAAATGAAGTTTGAGACTCGTTGGGAAATCAGAGATGAATAAGTGTTAGATTTTTGTTTGTGGCGTTTACACAATGCTGTATGTGTCATGCTAAATAATGACATAAATTATCGGTAGAAAAAATGAATCTGAAACACTAGTAACATTTTGTAAAATTACACCCAGATAAAAAATGTATGTATACACTTTGCATGACATTCACAATGATTAGCTGGCGGTCCACATACATAAATCGTTTGTGTACAAACATTAGTTATCTGCACTAGGAAAAACATGTTACACATAGAGGGAAAATGAACAATGGAGACATTTTGTTATTTGTATACAAACAATTAATGTATGTGCATAACCTTGGTGTCCAATTTCCATGCAACCAAACACTAATCTTTCTATAAAAACACACAAATCAATGTGATTTGTGCGCAATACAGACATTAATTGCTAGTGTATACTACATAGATAAAAAAATGTGTACCCGTATACTTTATTTGTGCCCAGACATTTGGACGAACGTTTAATAATTTTTAAATTTAATTTCTTCACATAGATAAATTTTATCAAAATTTAAGACGGCACACCAATCATATCATAGACAGTTAAGTTCACAGATCGAGGATTTAACATGAAAACCGACCAATTCAAACTAATCAAAACTGCCAAAATGTGACCGGAATTGACCAAAAGTAACCAAACTAAAACGAACCGAAGAAGATAAAATATAATCTGTCCAGTTCACTCTTTTACATTTTTCAAAATTGAATTGACCTAAACTTGATCGATGCACCGCAAACTAAACCTATGAACACCCCTAGTCTTATCCTTATTTGCTTGAGACCTCATCTATCCTTCACATCATTCAAAAACAAGTGATGGTGAGTGGTGACTTCAAGTTACTTCAACAAGAATGATTAGAATATGGTTAATCTGAAGACTGAAATTCATTAGGAACATATACTTATTTCGTATTTGAGTTACAATATGCCAAAGTTTCTCGTTCAAGCCTCAGAAGCTCATATTGAAGCCTTGTTTGATTCTAAATTGAAACGTGCTAGAAATAATAAATATAGAATCTCATTTGTCTCAGTTTAAGATTTTACTACACGATTCACACAATAAATTTACATTCTTTTAATCTGTATTCTAATATCAATACTTCATCATATTTGAGTTCGATATTTGCAATCAATAGAGGTTATAGTTTCAGAATATGAGTTTTCATTATAAATGATACGGACTATTATAGTTTGAAACTTCATTATTAGTCAATTGTCATAAGCCTACACACAATTGGACTTTGTATGCTTGTCTTATTTAATTATGTCAAAAACAGTTTCACTTTTGCTTTATTCAATGAAGATGAATTTAGGGTTGTTGCAAAAAAACATTTGCATTTGGGGTAATTACAAATATATCCAATTGCAAAAGTGAATGATTGAGAATAACCACTCAAATTAAATTCTCATTAGAGTGACTGTCACAAGAACCATCCTTTATACAATATGTGTGCTAACACTTATATTATGACACAAGAAATAACCAACTACAACCGTAATACATAAAGTACTCCCAAGCATTTTCCAACTTCTCTATATCCTTAACATATATGGTCAAATTGCAAAGGCTTATATACATCAAGACCATCCGCGTAAGCTGAATAGGATAACGAAAAGCAAAGGTTTCAGACGGCACGTAAAAGAGTTGATCATCCAGGCCATCTTCTACACATTAAGACCATTAAGTCCACCTTATGTATAATATATTAATATGGACTGGCCATTCTATTATATTATAATACACCCATTAATTACGATACATTATCCTATATAAAGGTCAATGATCATCCAGAGAGGTTATCGAGTCGGTCATCCATGAGCTGGGAGACAGTTTCAAGAAAATCAGTTTCACTCATGCCAGGAAGCTTTGAATCTTGAGCTTCTCTGACAATTTCTTCAATCACAGATTCCTTGTTCAAGTTTTCCCTGCACATGATGCTCCCGATCACGAAAGGACTGAGCCCTCTCTCAGCCCCTTTCTTCAAAAGCATGGTGGAAATACGAAGCACGCGAGTGCATTCCAAAGACAACTTCCATCCATAAAATTTGAGAAGTGCAATGTCTTGTTCAGCATCCAGTGACTTTATGTAAGCAATGGTCTCGGGTGAGAAAGGCTGGCGGGCTTGCTGCCAGTACAGCCAATCAAAAGTGCAATCTTCAAACTGCACACAACATAGTTAAAACTTAACAGTCGTTTCTGCAGGCTGATGATATGCTCAAATCGATATATGCTTACATTTCTAACATACACACATGCGTACATGACTTGGTATGTTCAGAAGTAACTATTACTGTATTATTAACATTATTGTCATAATGATAAGCTTAACTGCTTAAACAACAAACTATAAACTTCGAGATTGGTTGTGTTAATAAGCCACCGTTATCTTGTAAAGGTATGTAAAGCCTGACCATATCCAAAGACAGAAACTCACATATACTACGTAAAACATAGACTTCTAGTTCTAATAGGTCGACATTTATTTTAAAAGAAAATCACAAATCTTTATATGGTAACGCTGTTAAGCTCCAATGAGTTATTCGATTCCAACAATCCTCAACAATGGGCATATGGAAATCAAGATTGGTGTGATTTAACGAGTGAACCTTCTTACATAGACATGTTTAAGTCACATCTCAAGCCGACCATTTAAAATACTAATTTTATTAGAATTAGACATCACATAGAAAAACAACCATGTATATTGTGCATATCACGGATTTTTTTAATTGGAGTGGTGTCAGTTCAAAACCAGACCAGATTAGACCAAACTTAAAAATCTTACTAGACCTAAACAAATCTGACCAGACCAATCACTAGACCAGTTCAAACAAGACCAAACTTCGACAGTTGTAAAATACACATAGAACAAACATCTATCAAACCAGGTCAGATCAGAAAGTTATAGTCCAATTAAAAACATCCAGACTCCTAAGTGCTATAATAAAAGAAAGGAAATAGACTTACTTTCTCAGGTAGACAGTAGCCATGATCGATTGGTGTAAGCACAACACGCCCATCTTCACCTCTACTCACCAGAATGTTACCAGCATGTCTATCAGCATTTGCAGTTCTTATATCAAAGACACTGATCTTATGCACTTCCTCCACTGGAAAATATTGAGGTCCAATGTCCTCACAATTTCCATGGTTATCCATAAAAAGCTGGAGTGAACCGATCTTGATATGCTCGGTTGACCAGTCAAATCCATCCGGGTAATGAAAACTGTCATTTAAGCACTGAATCATGACAGTTGGAGGCACGCCAGAAAAACCAACCTCCCCATTGGCTATTGGGCGAGGTCCAGTCTTTGGATGATCTAGTAAAAAGGCTGCAACCTCTCTAAATGCGCCTTCTCCAACCTTGGTTCCCCTCTTCAGACCTTCACCAGTAGATGACAAAGGTAACCCCTGAGGGTTATTAACAGCCAATGGTTCTTCATCTATTGGCTTAAAAACAGCTACATACTTGTTTCCTGATCCATCCAGCATGAGGTAAGTTCCTCCCGTACCCTGGGACGATCTAACTGGCCGTTTTCCTTTCGCCAAACCATCGCGTGCAGATTTCACCATATCTAACAAAGATTCAGGCAGTTTGACCTTTGGATTTACAATAATTGGCTCCAAAAGGGTGAAATCACCATGTGTGGACTTTCTGAACAAAGTTTGAAGATCATCTGTAGGTTCTATATGTTCATAGCCTCCAACTTCTGCCTTCTTGTTCCCATTAGCAGCAACAACAGAGAGCTCGACATCCCGATCCACAGGCTTGGCCCGAACTGTAGCTGATTTCTTCTGAACTACCAAATGAACCACAGCTTCCGAAGTATTACTCGAATAGATATCGTCAATGAGCCTAAGGTCCTCAAGCTTCTCACCATTACAGAAGAGATCCTTATCCTCAAAGTCAAAATATCCCTTCCCATCTGTGGCTATCTTACGCTTAAGATACCCCACATTCTGATGCCTATCAACATGGAAATCGAATTCCTTGCCGCATGTGGTACTAACGTTGATGACTAGGAGATCAGAGAGCTTAAGAATCAAGTGCAACACATTCCCATCTGCCACACCGTAGTCCTTCACCAAGGAATCATTCCTGGACAGCTCCCTACCTCCGAAAACTAGCTTCTGTCTCTTTACTACGAACCCTTTACATGTTTGTATCCTAACTTTAACCGATGCTATAGAATCAGACTTGAAGACACGCATGGGAATCACAGAACCCGCGACCGTGATGTAAATCACAATCGACTCGTTCGTGGAAAGATTTAATGGAACATTCGCATGCCTAGTAGACCTGATTGACTCTTCTTGAATAGGATTGGACAAAGTCACGACCACAGCAGACATTTCAAATTTATAGACTTTCCAGAATCCCTTCTCCTTGTTTTTGCCTAAAGATTCCTACCTTGGATCATAAATGTTTAGGCAAAATACAAGAAAAACAGGATTCAAATGGAACCCTAATGCAATCACCAGAAATAACTAAATATCTGCATATAGTTATCTACAAATTAGAATACCATCGAAAAAACCGAAACAAGAAACAGGTTGGATCAAAGGATGATCGAACCAGAAAGACTCAAACTTTGTCCTGTACATAGATTACATCATGGGAAATGCCCTTATTCGGGGAAAGAAAACGATCAAGGAATTAAATATACGAGATCTTTTCAAGATTATCACCGCAGAAAACCCTAAATCGTAGAAATTAAAAACCAAGAACGGGTCGGAGGCTGAAATGAGCTTCCGAGAACATATGAGAGAGATAGAGAGAGAAATAGGGGTAAGAATTTGATTACTGCGATTGTTGGGTCGAAGATCCTGTTGCTCTTCAAAGTTCCTTGATTTTTCCCAAAGCAGAGCGGATTCTTTACCGACTGAAAGAATCAAATGGCAATTGGCAAGCGACACTGACTTTATAAGCTTCTTGGGGAATGAAAAATTCCAGGAAGCCGAGGAATTGTGAGCTGGTTCGAATTGAGGGGTCCTGACCGTTCCGATCTATTCGCCGGGTTCTTGAATTTCAGGTAACGATGTTGAAGATAAAGAAAAGCAGGGAGCGCAATTATAGCCGTTGTGCTAGCAAAAGGCGAATGACTAGGAATGCCTAATACGGAGTAACGCATACATACACATGTAATGATTGTATATTGATTGTCCCTACTCCCCACAATTCCTATATAGTCCTCCATTATGAAAGTAAATTGGGAAATTCTTTGTTGCATACCTTCTTATACACACGGTATAATAGCGTGTCTATGAGAGGTTTTTTTGTGTGAATCCCAGTTCACGGACAAAACCGTCTTTTTTCTTCTGTGGAAAATTCTACAGACAAAACAAGTTAATTTTTATCTATCGAGGTGTACTAATATGTATAAGAATGTGTACAAAAGGAATTTTGAAGTTAATTCCTATTTTTTTGTTTTAATTTTTGATTTTTTTATTCAAATCAAAACTCAAAAGTGGTTTCTTTTTGGGAAAGAATGACTCAAATAGGACGGTAGGCTTTTATCTTGACAAAAAAAGGACCTTAATTGAATATGGACAACATAAGCGACTAAATTAATCTGAAAGTACCAAATTATTATCCCCAATTCTCAAAATCCACCTGTCTTTCTCTTATCTGCCTGTTTCCATTTCATCTGCGGTCTTCATCTTCCCAAGCCAAATTTCTCAGACCTTCGTACGGCGAGCAGGGATAGAGAGCGGAGAGGACTCGGCGAGCGGTGAGCGGCAACGGTGAGCGGCAACGCTAGCAGCGATGGAGAGCGCCAACTACTCGGCGATGCAGATCGATGCGAATTCACACAAAGCGAGTGGTGGTCGAAAATTGATGTGAGCTGTGACCACTGTGAATCACTGAATCCTCTCGGAGCATCGCTTCTTTGGTCTAAGATCAATCTACACCGCCTCAAGCCATTTGTGCCCTTCTTCTCACTCTCTATAGGCGATCGGATGGAAATCCGGAATCAGCCATATGTGCCGCTTCTTCTACTACGACCGGACATTGGGGCATTGGCAGATCGCAGGAGGTTTTGGGGCAGTTGGGGATTGGTTTGCGACTGGGTCTGGGTTTGGAAGGGGGCTGGGTCTAGCCATGGGGCTGGGCAGGGGCTGGTGGAGAGTGTTAGGGGCTGGGGCTGGTTAGGGGTAGGTGCAAAGTAGCGGCGACAGTCACCGGACGGGCGGAGGCGGGGTCAATGGACGAGCAGTGGCAAGTGGTAGCTGGAACAGGTGGGGCGGCGGTTAATGGACGGGCAGTGGTAATCGAAACCCTGGAGGAGCACGGTTGGCACGGTCGGGTAATTGTAACTGACGGGTTGAGTAAGTGTAACTGGACGTTCAGGTAACTGTAACTGGACGATCGGGTAACTGTAAGTCTGTAACTGGATAGTCGGGTAATTGTAATTGGACAGATCATGCAACTGTCACTTAACGGGTGGATCTTGGTCACTGGACGGGTGGATGTTGGTCACCGGATGGGTGGGCGTTGGTTACTGGGCGAAGTTTTTTGTCACTAATAGAATTTTTATTTTGGTCACTAACGTAATTTGGTCACTGGCGTATTTTGGTCACTATGGTGTCACTATGACGTAACTGTAGCATTAATGGGGTATAATAGTCTCCTAACCCTTTTTAATCTCATTTTTGGAATATGGGAAAAAATGTCTCTTTTTTGTCCATATCTCTTTTTTTAGTAATATTTTAGACATAACCTCTTGATAGATTAGGTCATTGTAACTAATTGGGCAAGTAATTGTAATTGGTCGAACGTATAATTGTAACTGATCGATTCAAGTAACTATAAATGATCATTGGGTAACTATAACGTAAAAGTCATACATTTTTTTTTATCTTTACCTATATTTTTCAAGGGTGAGATTTACTACCAATTGATTAGACGTACAGTATGGGCTTATTTGATACGGAGTATTTTCATCTTAGAGTTCTTAACTTTAAATGATGCATACTCATGGTCTCTTTTTTTTATAATACCAAGGGACTGAAGGGAGTGTTTTAAATACCAACTTTTACTTATTTTTATTTAGTTTTATTAAGTGAAAACCTAAAAGTAGAGTGATCCTTTTAAATGTTTCTTAAAACCCAAAAGCACTTTTTTTTTATCACATACGCCAACTTTTACTTTTTAAAATCATTTTTCTTTTCAAACACTATCAACTTTTAAAAGTAGAAGATGTTGTAAACACTTCCTAAAAGAGGTCTTATATTTGTCCAATCCTTTTAATTAGTAATATTCATGATCTAACCCCAAAAGCATAGTTATGTGGTTGATATTAAATTGATGAAGCGTGAATAAAGTAAGAATGAATTACAACAACACAAATATTACTATATATACATGGTATGAGACAAACTTAATAAGCGGGATGAAAAGAGAAAAAATGAGTAGGAAACAGAGCAATTGTTATACTGTGGGAGCGGCTCATGATGAACCTCATACTCCTACAGCTAAAACGACGTCATTTGGTTTACGTTTTAACTATAAAATGTGCATGAGAATAACTACTCCCTCCGTATTTTAAAGTTTGCTACACTTTCTTTTTTGGGATACATTCAAAAGTTTGCTACACTTTTCCTTTTTGGTAAGTTTTTCTTTTAAAAGTACTCAACTACCCTTACTTTTTCTACTTTTATCTTCTCTTTCATATTTTTACACACTCTCTCCTACTTTTTCTACATTATTCATTATCTGTACTATTTCTTTCTTAAATAATGTGCGCAATGCTATTGTAGTGAACTTATAAATACGGAGGGAGTATGATTTTTGTCTCAATATTTTTAAGGAATTGAATAATACTACCTCCGTCCCTCTGTTATTGTCCCATTACGGTTTACGATGTTTGACCGACGATAAAGAAAACGGATCCATGTCCGCACTCAAATTATTTTTAGGGAAAAAAATTACATATTCAGAAACTGCATTAAAAGCTTTACAAAGTCGCAAAACCCAGAATCAAATTTGATACATAAAGAAAGAGATTAAAAGTGATTTGTGTTGACCAAGTGAATAGGAAATGGGACGATAATAGGGGGCGGAGGGAGTACAATATTTGAATGATAGAAAAGTTATCAATACGGGATCTGAAAGATAAAATGTGTCGGGATAGGACCCGAGTGATCGGAAACTATCAATCTAGGGCCTTAAATTTCATAGTTTTTATTTATTTATTTATTTATTACTAATTCCATTGCTATTTTTTATAATATTTTCCTCATAAAAGTTTATTAGTTTTTGATCATAAAGTTTATTAGTTTTATAAAATAAAAAATATTTATTTTTTTAAAAATAAAAATAATGATAATATTTATGACAACTTAGGTTCTAGACTGATAGTTTTCAATCATTCGAGTTTTATATACCGACACATTTCATATTTAAGGTCCCGGATTGATAGTTCATCTATATTTCAGGTCTCATATTGAAAAAATCTCTATTTTTAATGATGTAAATCCGTTGTAATGAGATGTAACTCGCGCACTGGAGTGCAGCTTGCAATACTGTTCCAGTGGTCATTCTCTCACATTTCATACATGAAATGTAACTCGGGTGTATACAAAATGTAACTTAAGGCAAGTCGAAATGTAAATTGCATTAATTGAAATGTAACTTGTTGAGGCATGTCGAAATTTAAATCGCATTAATTGAAATGTAACTTGAGATAAATTAGAATGGAAGTATAGTTAACGGAAATGTAACTTGAGGCAAATCCAAATATAAATGACATTAATGAACATGTAAGTTGAGACAAGTCGAAATATAAATCACGTTAGGTGGAAATGTAACTTGAGACAACTCGAATTGTAAGATATCTAATATAAGATATATAACTTGGAGGAATGTTGCAGACTTGTAGATCTTGAAACACAAATATAAATTTTTATATTAGATTAATATAATTTAATTTTTGAATTGTTGGACGGGGTAAACCCTAGGTTTATATTGAAGATGAATAAAAACGAAATTGTGGTTAGAATATTAATATTTTGATGAAGGAGAATTAGAAGCTAGAAGGTAATTGGAGAAGAAAAGAAAAATGAAGCAAAAATCAGTTTATTAACATTTTAATGAAGGAGATGAAGATAATAGAAAACGAAAAGAAAAAAATAAGAAAAAACGGAGAAGAATGGCTAGTGGAAATGAAGAGGAAGCACAAAAAGCTAGTAAAGGATGACTACAAATCTCTCTATCCAACAGAGTTGTTTTTAATTAAGGAAATAATGTCGTATTGGGACCTATATACGATGCGCGTATTGTAACTGTCTTACCGTATAATTTGAGGAGACAAATGAAGTAGCATTTAGCATATATCTTGTCGATTGGTCTTTTTTTCAACTGTGAACAATGTGATGTGAAATGTGATTCAACCCGATGAATAGAGGAAAGTTATATTCAAAGAGAGATCAAGCAATATTTGTTAGATACTCTTTAAATAGTAGAGCCATACATAGGAAAAGAGTTTTAATTTGTTCAATCCTCAAAGGAGGGTGGTGTTCACCCTCACCCCTAGTTGTTTGCTATATGACAGGTCAACTCTTTATTATTTGGCAATTGTTTTAACCTTTTCATTTTAATCCATTTTTTAAAAATATAACAAATTTTTTATTTGATCTTTTATGATATTTCATATGATACCAACATTGCAGATGAAAATAAAAAACAACTAAAAATAGATATTTTAAAAAAGATATAATTTGGCGACTCTTTCTCTCTCTAGGGTGGATTTCCACCGCTAGAGTTTTTTCATCCGCTATCATTTGTATCGAGGAGCGGCCGCCGCAGGCTGGCTTAGACGCATAAGGTTTCTTCTTCCGCCATAAATTGTGCGGCTATTTTTCTTCCTTGGCTTGGCAAGATTAAGCGGGGGGATAAAATGATTGGTCTCCGGCGGCCGAAGATTGTGCAGGGACGGAATATGGATGCTTGGTCACCAGCGGCCAATATCATGGACGAAGTGTGGGGCTATAGACTGAAACAGATCTGGATTCAAGGATGAATAAGAGACAAGATGAGGAAGAAACTACAGTACTGCTGTATCGTCCCCCTTCTGAACCGCCGCCATGGAGTGGAAGAGAGTCTAGAGTTTGGAAGCATCTTTTTAATTTTAGTGTTT